TTTTTTTCCAAAGTCGATGTAATAAAGCAGCAAACAGTGCAGATACAGCGCTCAGCATTCATTCAGTCATAATATTCACCTTAGAAGCAGAAGGACTCGGGGGCTTCAGCCTGAGGGAGAGTCAGAGTTATAAATGAGCTGCGGCGGTGGCAAAAGTCACGCCATAGTCTGAAAGTAATTTAGACTTTTTTTGCTTCAGGACATTTAGACGCAAGAAAAGTGCATCCAGCAGATAAAGTTTAATATTGGTAGTTTATTCAGTTGTATTAAGTTCAGCTGTGGATCTTTTTTAGTGTTAGTATATGATATATATATTATATAATAAACAAATAAAGCAGGAAAAACATGTGGGAGAGAAGAAGCTTTACATTTACACAAAGGACCTCCAGTCCACATGAGAAATAAAATAATAAATGAGCAATTTTGAACTGAAGTATCTAAAAAAGGCTCATCGATATGCTGCAGACACGATTCTGGCCCAGTAAATGTGGTGTGGGTTCAAATGTGTGGTCAAGAGAAATGATTTCACAGAAACAATTTATATCATCAAAATTTAGCTATAATTGGTTGGAGGAAGGGGTTGAAGGTGGAGCAGTGGTTAGCATCGTCGCCTCACAGCCAGAAGGTCGCCGACCATATAAGGAAAACAGGGCGAGTGGATGGTACTAAATCAAAGAACCAAATTAAACAAAGTCCAACAGAGTCACAAAACCATCTAAACAAAAAACAGAACAACTAAACTCCTCAGCCGTGCAGAACCACAACGGCAACGCCCGTGACTAACTAAAGGAACTAAACAGACCAGAGCCTCAAAACAAGAGACGACAAGTAACTTGTTCACTAAGTCAACAGTTACAGAAGACACGAAACACAAAGACAAGAGACAGCAAGACGATCTGTTCACACTAAATCCCAGCCAACCTGAGTCTGAGGCTGAATGTAGATTTATGCTCCAGGTGTGTTGATTGCTGCAGCTGGATTGGATGAAGGTGGAGGGTGGTGGCCCAATCAGACGGGTCAGGAGGCGGGGAGAACAAGGGCTGGAGTGCAGGTCTTCATCTCCAGGCTAATCAGAGGAGATGACTGGCAGCTGGGACTAAACAAGCTCTCCTTAAACAATGGTGACAAAAGTGGGGCTGCAGGTGTCTCAGTGGTTAGCATCGTCACCTCACAGCTAGAAGATC